CGACGAGGGAGCGATGGAGGCCTGTCGTGCTGCTGTCAATCAAGTCATGGACGAACGTGATCGCGTGGCCAAAAGGCTGGGAGGTTTGGCGACGTTGTACGATGGTCCGTTGAGCTACTCCAATCAACAGGGAGAATTCCACCTGCCAGATGCGCGGACATATGACTCAGGTGATTCCGGTAGTTTTCTGGGAGATAACAAGTGGATTCCTCCCAGTCGCAGGAAAGATTCTCTCTCGCAGCGAGGCGAACCACCTCGCTCAATCGCAAAGCCTTCTCCGTTCTCAGGTAATTCCGTAGATGACCTGCGAAAGCAACTTTCTCAGTTACCGAGAGAAGGACTCACGACGGAGAAAGTGGAACCTTCACGTCAAAGAATGCTTCCAGGGCAGAACTTTCAGAATGAGCAGAGTGGTCAAGCATCAAGTAATCCGCCCCGTCCATTCAATCATGCGAACGCCAAACCACTTGCATCAGAATTCTCACAACAGAACCCTTTCGATCAGTCAAATTCTCGAGCTTCTCAACAACCTCAGGGCCAGGATACTGCTGGAGTCCGCATCAGCACTCCCAGGCAATCAGGCGTGATTGGGATCGAAAGAGAAACGGAACTGCACCTGTGGCAGGATCGATTCCATGTCGATGAAGAGGAACCGCAGGCAATCGCAGCAGACATCTCAACTCAGACTTTAAAGCAGAATGTGACTCAAGCAGTTCAGCAAGTGACTGACCGTTGGCAGGCACCTCCCAAAGCTTACTTCTGGAAACCTGTCTTGAAGATTGTCATCCATCCGGGAGGGATGTTGCATTATGCCAGAGTCAAAGAACTAGCGGACTCATGGGGTATTCCAACACGAGTTGAATATGAGTTTAAGTAGATATTTCATGTCATCTCTAGAACGCAAACTGCCCATAGTCCCTCAAGCAATTTGAATCGAGACGTGAGTTTCTGAAATGAGTCGTCGTCATCAAGAGAACAATTCATTCGGTTCAGATTCATTTCTGGATGTCATTGCCAATATCGTTGGAATACTGATCATCTTAATCGTGGTGGCGGGAGTCCGTGTTAGTCGTGCCCCACTGCTCAGTCTACAGCAGCCTGAGGCTTCAATCACTGAGACGGAGCAAGTCATCATTGAATTACTCCCAGCGCTCAGCGAACCCGGAGATGAACCCCTTCTGGTTGAGTTGTATACAGATCCAACAGATTTAGAGCCAATTGAGCCTGAATTGATTGTCGAAGATTTTGTCACACCTGAAGAGAAGCCACTTCCCGAAATAAAAACAGCGACGAAACCTGTTGCTCTTATGCAGAAAGCTCAGTCCCAGCAAGAACAATTGGACGCATTACTTGGTGAACTGGCAACATTAGATGTCATCCTGCGAGACCTGAAGCAACAACAAACTGAACAGGCAGGGTTAGCGAGAGTAAAACAAGGAAATTTAGAGGCTGAAGAAGCAAAACTACTGGCACACAAACAACTCAACGAGCTGACAAAAGAAGAGAACGAACGCTCAGAGCAGGTTGTCCTACAGCTGAAAGATCAATTGGCTCAAGTATCTGAACTGACTCCTCGAACTGAAAAGCTGGCTCATCGGTTGAATCCAGTCGGACGACTGGTGAATGGCAGCGAAGTCCATTTCCAACTGCTCGATAATCGAATTGCGTTTGTTCCAATTCAGGCTCTCTCAGAACTCGTTAAAGACGACATGAAACGCCGCAAAGATTTTCTGTTCAAACAAAGACGGTTTCAATCTCGCGTCGGACCTGTGAATGGATTCTCGATGGAGTATCTGGTTCAGAGGCAGTCAAGCGGCCTCTTGAGCGATTCCAGCACTGGCATGATTCGGATCTCGCTGACCGATTGGGTCTTACGTCCATCGAGTCAGGTCGTCGCTGAGTCATTTGAAGAAGCGATCACTCCTGGTTCACGCTTCCGAGAGGCTCTTGTCTCTGAAGGCTCAAATGCAACCGTCACATTCTGGGTCTACCCGGACAGCTTTGATATTCACGGAAAGCTGAAGCAGTTGGTACATGATTCCGGTTTCTGGGTCGCCTCTCGTCCCTTGCCGATGAATTACCCCATCGCGGGGTCCTCGACGAATGGCTCGAAGTCGATCGCACAATAATTTGGTTGAGAGTTGAGGGTTAATAGTTGAGAGTAGCTGTAGGGTGGGTGGAGTTCGTTGATCTATGTGAATGGTGGGTTACGCAATTTGCTTACGAAAGAATTAAGGTCTTCTTCTCAGAGTATGTCAAGAACGTAACCCACCAAATCGCAGTTCAAAATTGCTCCACCTACCCTACCATTTCTGCGATCTTGTGGCTTCTAAGTACAAGTCCCAACAATAGAGGGTTGTTATTTGATCGACACTTCAAGCATGATGGAATCTGATCAAGTCTCCAATTGGAAAACGCGGATTTTCGCGGATGCGGCGGATCTCCGCTGATTGATACTGATTCAATCTGACGGATTTGACTATCGATCAACGCGTGTTACGGGGTACTCATTAAACTGATTCCGTTCGGTGCAGAATATGAATCTGTGTAATGGTGATAAGATCGAAAAAAATCCGCGAGCATCCGCGTCGATCCGCGTTAAAAAACTGATGCAGAATCAACGAAAATGGGGGTTAAGGATCATCCTCCCGAGTGTGAGCGCATGTGAGAATTATTCGATCCTTAATTTCATGGGACGTGTACTAAGCAGATGACTCACTTCGTTGAGGACTAAAGTCCTCGTAAAGATCAGCGGTTAGAATTCTGTTGACCAGAATTCAAAAAGCTGAATGTGAAGACATCTGTGATGTTCGTAAATGTTGGGTTCAACGAAAGCCTTACATATCTTCGATCAGGAGAAACGACTGCTTGGGCGCTGAGGCTGCTACCCTCTTGTAGAGTTTGGACAACAGGGGCATATCCGACACCACCTCGAACTGCTGGAGTGCCTAAACGATCGACAGAAAACTGCTGCAATACTTGAGATTGGTCTGCTCTCATTTTCGCCATTTGTTTTTGATCTGGTTGCCTGTCTACAACGAGTTCAACTTCTGGGCGACGCAATAGTGAGAGTTGCCGCGGTTGAGTGCGGCGTCCGTTTTCCAGATCAAAAGTGAAACTCGCTTGACCATCTTCGAGAACAACAGTCCGAGTGATCACTTTCTCAGCTTCAGTTTGTGAGTGCATTGTGATCTGGACAGTCGCGCGATCTCCGACGACCTTGCCGAAAGATTTTTTCACGGTCACCCGGTAAGTTCCTTTTACGGCTTGCGGGCAGACGTAACTCTCGAACGACTCATCAGGAAGTGGACCTGTTCCATCATGCAGAAAGATCCCTCCTGCGATCGTCAATGGAGTTTCGAAAGAACAAACTGAGCCGGGTGGTTCCTCAACATCAAGATCTAGGTCACCTGCCCCGCTCCATTCCACGCGGATCATCAGGTCCCGGGTTCTGGCCTGTTTCAACTGTGCTGCCAGAGCTTGCATCTGATCCTGTTCTCCTTTGCGTTTTAACTTGCGCAGCTGATTGAAGATGGCATCTTCTGCCAGTCGGTGCTGCTGCCGATGGTCGTCTCCCCAATAGTGCTGAAGTATCCCTTCTGCGGCCCCACGAATGTCTTCAAGTTCTCCAACCTTTTCAGCTAGTGGCAGAGCGAGAACATAAGGCTCATGACGCTCGGGAGAGAGGCGAGACGCTTGTTGATACAATTTCAGAGCAGCCCCATCTCGATCAAACCGTTTCAGGTATGCCGCGGAATACATCAAGCTTTCGAAACTGACCGCACCGAAGTCAGACAGGGAGAGAACGACCCGTTCGATATCCTCCTTTGGATAACCTTCGATCTCCATCGAGAGTGCCAGCACTTCATACATCCAAGGTTGAGCCTGTCCCTGTTTGATCGCTCCCTGCAAACAGGCGATAACAGTTTTGTGCTCCTGTTTTTGATGCAGCTTCATGACCGCCTGGCGAACTTTTAGCGGATAGGGCCGATGAGTTTTGAAAAACGCCCTGAAGGTTGTTTCAGCATCCTTCTCGCTAGGAGTCGGTAGAGCAATATCGTCGTACTTGATTGGTGTCTCTATTGACTGGGTTTTCGGATCGGACTTCTTCTCTGGTACGACAAAAAAAGGAACGTCCGACCGCTTAGAATTTGCGGCAGGACGTTCCTGATTCCTATCAACTGGCTGAAACAGAGATTGTTTCTGGGCTGTTTTTATGGGAGTGCTGTTTTTTTTTCAGCTGGGATCGGCATTGCCGGGACACTAAACGCACCCTGACCGAATCCACCGCCACCCTGTTGACCACCGAATCCGCCACCTTGCTGGCCACCGAATCCGCCACCCTGTTGACCACCACCAAGGCCACCACCTTGTTGACCGCCGAGTCCACCACCAAAGCCACCACCGAGTGGGAAGATTGGAATGACGAGGTCGGCTACTGGATAAACTCGGGTCTGCAATGATCCAGTAGCAGCGAGTTCCGTCGTGATTTTCATCACTTCATCTTCGATGACATAAGTTAAAGCAAGTGGCTCTAATAAGAGTTTGAGTGCGGAACGTAGTGTGATCCCTGAAAGAACCAGTTCGACTTCGTCATCACCACTTCGTCCATCGTTTTGAAGTTCGACTTCGTCGATGATGATCGGAATTCCGTGTTGGCTGCTGATGTAATCAATCACATCTGTCAACGGGTTACCAGGGAATTCGACATTCGTAATCTGATCAAGAGCGTCGTAAATCTTTTGCTCGTTCGGGCTGTCGTTACGCAGGTCAACAGATTTCCACTTTTCACGCAAAATGGTCAGAGCTTGCCAGACTTCGGCTGGTGGATAACGAACTGGTGGCTCGTCTGGGAATGGAACATGTGAAAGTTCCACTTGATAAAGTGATTCCAGGAAGCGGTCCGAACGCAAGGCCTGCAACCGCTTCGCTTTATCAAGCTGACCTGCAGCCTCAGAGACGAACACAACCGAAACACCCATGGCACTATTGGGGTATTCGCTGAGCACGGTACGTGCAACGGCCTCAGCTGATTCAAATGCTCCTGCGTCCCCCTGATATCCTTCGATGAGCAGGGCACGAATTCGATCGACCATTTGCTCTTTTTTTGCATCCCGTTCTTCAGCAAACTCGATCAGTCGAGCTTGTGCTTCCACTTCAACGCGACGCTTGTTTCTCTCTGCATTTTCCAAGGCAATCTTCTGTCGTCGAGAGGCGACATCCTGTTGAACAGATGCAACTTGTCTTAACAGTTGATTACGGGCCTCTGGATCAATGTCTGTCGCGGATTTGACTGATCCTCGAATCTGGGACAACTTGTCGTAGGCCGCATCTGGGTTCGAATCCACAACGGACAAGGCAAGTTGAATTCCCCGCTCGACTTCTGCACGCAAGGCTTGTGTGCGAGCGTTGACCAGTTGGTCATAAGCTTGAATTGGATCTTCGACACGTGGTGCTGTGCGATCCTGATTTGCTTCTATGGCGTTTTCTACAGCATTATCAACGGCTGGATTTCCGTCATCGAATTGCACTGACTGCAGGACCAGATTCTCTCCAGCCTCGTTGATGAGTTGCATGGCTGTCTGATTGCCAGGATCGATTTCCTGAATCGAGAAGCCAATTTGCTCAGCAGTTTCGAAAGCACCTTGTTTCAAGGCTTGGACGCCCTGAGCTTCCATTTGCATGATGCTGTTTTCGAACTGCTGGTGTGACAGGTTGACCATCCAGTCTCCTGCGAGTCCCAAGACGAGACCATCAGTCGGTGTTCCACGGTGCCACAATGACTCCAGGAATGTATTCCCAGTCGTGCGGACAACGCTCAGGTTATTCCATTCATTCGATCCGAGTTGCAAATCCGCTTGAGTCCCTAAATCTCCCTGAAACAGATAAACGGTTTCTCGATCAGAGCGAAGAGGAAGCGGACGGTTGGGCAGTAAGGTGATTGCAGCGTCAGCAACCTGAATCGTTTCAGGATATTCGACAACCTTCAGAGCAGCACTTGCCAACAACTCACCTGCTTGTTGAGCATTCAGTGACTTTTCACTTGTCTCATCGCGGAATACATAACCGCCAGTTTCCTGTCCAAAGACTCCCAGAAGTTGCAAGTCAGTGTTTGAACCAACTGCAAAGGAATGAACCGGAATCTTCAATTCACGAAGCTGACTGGTCAGTTGCTCGGTTTCTTTGATTTGCACGAGTTGTGCAGCACTCATACCATCGCCAATGAAGACGATCGAGCCATTCTTGCTGTTGGCCAGTTCTTCAATCGCTGCTCGCAGCCCAGCACCGAAATTCGTTGCTCCCGCAGGAAAACGTTCATTCAGTTTCTTGAGAGATTGTTCGGCAGCGACGGCAGGCGCTTGGAATCCATCGTTCATCGGCACAGCCGAAATATCAACGGCAATCACGCTTGCCCGATGCTCACTAGGGAGACTTGTCAGAAAGCTTTCCAGGACAGCCAGACCCATCTCACGATGTTCGCCTACCTGGCTGGCAGAGGTATCGATCAAAACGACATGATCAACCTGCTTGCGAACAGCCTGACTGGAAGGCAACTTGACCGAGATCGATCCATACTGCTCTCCTGTCGGCGAGACGTAGGACCTTACGACCGGTTCACTGGCCATACTGACAGACACAGCGACTAATGTCGTCAGAACGAACGAAAACTTGAAAGCCATCTTCATATTGTCATTCCCTGGGACTTCGCAATTACCGAACGGCAACGAACGATCATCATGGAAAGGTCATCACGTCAGAGAAATCTGACGTAATTCTCATTGTATAGGGAGTCTCGGTTTGATTGAAAACAAATTCTCGACAAACTCATTGAATCGAGAGCAAGTTTTCGATCCCGGGCGAAATGGCTGGAATGATCCTAACAGACGGATATCAGCCTGCCGGTTGAGACTAAAATGTCACTTCTGTCAATTTTACGCGATTTGCGAATGTTCGCTGCAATCGTGATTTTGAGTACAGGCGAATCACTTCACCATTGTAAGTTAACCTTCCCTGGTCATCAGTTCCCAATAAGTCCTTGACTTCAGGAATTGCTCGTCCTGAGTACAAGGCTGCGAATGTTTCAGGATCGACGCCACGACCTGATTCAAGATCTGCTCGTGAGTTTCCGCCTCCTGAGAGAATCAGAAAGGCGTTGGGGCCCTCTGTAATTGACTCGTAAAGTCCATCTGACTTCAGTGCTTCCATCGCTTCGATCAAACGACGGTTCGCTTCCCGGATTTTGTTTGCTGTATCTTCCTGCACACCAGATTGTGGCTGTTGAGCATTGACGATTTGAGGACCAAAATCAGCTTGCCCCAGTACGTAACCAACAATCATAAAAAAGGCAGCTGAAGCCAGAATTCGCAAAGTTGTCATTCCGAAAATCCCTTAATCTCTCGGGTCAAGAAAACAGATGCTGCTTATCTTAGCGTCACGCCTTGACATGAAGCAACTTGCCGCATTCCCGTGACAAAATTTTGATCAGCGACAAAGATTCATACTGACTCTCAAATTCGATCAGGCGGCACGTCGCTGATCTTCTTCAATTGTCACAGGATTGGTGTTTTCACCTTGCCCCTGCTGAGTTTGCTTTGTTTGCTTATTGTTGGGATTCGCATGAAAACTCATCACCAACATGAGTGTGGCGCCGATGAAGGCAGCTCCACACCCCAACAATGCCGTCTGATCGTCACTCATTGATTGCAACAACTCGACCACTGCAACAACTCCGTTTCGTGGAATCACATTCAAAAATGAAACACCAAATGCGATGTGCTCTCGCAGTGCATCGTACAAATGTGACTCAGTATACGACTTGTCAGAAAAACTGACTTACAGAAATAATCATCGAGCGCGCGAATCACTGTCTGATTCTTCCCCGCGGCGATAAGGCAGCCGCATCATGTAATTCGGGAATGCAGAACACCGAACTCGAACGGAGTCAGACGAATTCAAACCCTATCGCACAACTTGTCGGGACGGAAGCGTTCGTACTGCAATTAGGCATCGATTGGATTGTACCAGATGTAGCGATTACAACAGTTGCGCAACCAGATACGAAAGAGGATTCTTCATTAGTTTAGGGGAAGGTATTAATTCGCCCTAGAAAGCTCGCATTTGGGGGAACTGATAAGAGTGAGAGTGAGGGTCGCTATGAATCCCATCGGTCGTCGGCGTCAGATTTGTTCTGGCAAGAGGCGGGGCAGTTAGGGTATTTCCATCAGAATGATGATCAGCCTGAGTCGATTGTTGATTATCTTGCGATGGACGATTTCGTTGATGTGCCTCTGTCGCAGATTTCTGAGTTGCTCGCCCAACATCAGCGGCTGGCTTACCACGTAATTGTCGGGGAATCATATCGAGCGGTTCCAAAGGGGGAGGGCTCTGTAAGCGAATCACCTCCTCATTCGCGGAATTTTCTGACGATGTATTCGCTGCAATAATGGATTCTGGATTCTGAATCTGCGATGGGCTGCCAGCGAGGACCCAGTTGGTCCAATCTTTCTCCAGAGCGCTGACTGTCTCGAATCCGTAGTGCTTCTTGATTGACTTCTTCCATCCAAATTGATGTGCGTCCTGCAGAAAAGAGAGATACACCACTCGGGCGTTTTCTCCTTTTTCTCGCATCAAAAAAGACGCCAGTGAAAATCCTTCGGCGTAGAGTGTGAGCACATCTTCCATGTCGTCAGGATATTCACGCATTTCCAGGAGTTGAGCTAAAGGAATCCGACGGCTGCTTTTGACAACTCGGTTGAGTGTTTGCAATTGACGGAGTTGTTCTGAGCGGTGCTCGAAGAGCGTCGCTGCCCCTTCATCAGCCCAGCGAGGCAAAGGTCTGCGAAAGTAAGAAGCGAAGATGGTGTGATTCACTTCATGAGGTATGACTGAATCAAGGATTCGTTCTTCAGTCCCCTGCACTTTCATCTTCCAGCCGTAAACTTCACCATTATCGAACGTGAACGTTGTGGCCCCGCCCGCTCCAATCTGACCGACTTTAACTGTAATCGGACATGGCTTGTACCAGTTCGGAAGTTTGCGACCTAACCATTGAATAGCGAGATCCTCGCGCCAAACTTCTGCACACTTGGCGACTTTCTCAGCCAGTTCGGGAGTGGGAGCAGTCGCCACGAAATTGGCAGTGCTGTATGTCGCTGCCCCAGCGAGGCGACAAGTAAAAAATAGAACCAGAAAAACAGTCACGTTTCTCGATTTCGCATCCATGCGGGTAACCAGAACCTGATTTAATGAGTAGGAAGAAGTCGGGAGAGGAACAGTTCGCTGTTGTGAGATTGAATAACAACTACTTGGGAACGAACTGTCTCAGGATGGGAGAATGAATCGCGGTATCCATGCGTCTCATTCATCTCCAACCAGCAGCAATTGCCGGACCATCGCATGTAACTCATATGAATTCTGTTGGAACATGTTCTATAAACCACTACAAGTAAACACTTTATGGGCAAAATCCCTCTGGGAGTAACTCCTGGTCGATCAAGGGAGATTTTGAATTTTTTGCAAGTGTTGGCTGTAATGAGTGCAGTGAGACGCAGCAACCGCCTTGGTTAAGCAGGCAGCGACACTATTTCTTCTTGGGGCGAAAAGCAGCCACTTTCTCAGGATCGGTCATCAGGTAAGGGCCTTCAATGAGATCGATACAATACGGGATCGCTGGCATCACGGCGTCCATGCATTCCCGGATCGCTTTTGGCTGTCCAGGTAGATTCACAATCAAAGACTGACCACGTATCCCGGCTGTTTGTCTCGACAGGATGGCGGTGGGGACTGCCTTCAGAGATTCAAATCGCATCAGTTCCCCGAAGCCGGGCATCATCTTCTCGCAAACTGCCTCCGTCGCTTCGGGAGTAATGTCGCGTACCGCCGGTCCTGTTCCTCCGGTTGTCACTATCAGACAACAGTTTTCTTCGTCTGCCAATCGAGTGAGAGTTGCTGCAACTGTTTCCCGTTCATCCGGGATCACTTCTGCGACTGCTTCCCAGGGTGATGTCAGGACATCATTGAAATAATCAACAATGGCAGGCCCCCCACGGTCTTCATACTCCCCTCGACTGGCACGGTCAGAGACAGTGACAATTCCAATTTTGGCTACTTTAGACATCTGATCATTCCAATTCAGAACGTTTGTATAATTATGTTTTTGGATTAGTTGTGAGCGAGACAGAACTGCAAGTGTCAGAGGCGTCGCAGCAGTCGTTTGGCACGACTCTTCCAGAACAAATGCTTGCGGGCGATCGCTTTCGGACTCGAATCGAGATCAAGAATCAAGTTTTGCAGTGCGTTTTGGGCCTGTGACTTTTCGTCGATCTCAACATAGAGTTTTGCCAACAGGTACATCGCTTCCGGCTGCCGCCACTTTTGAGTATGCGTTTGCAAATGTGCCAAGGCATCCTGCTTAAGCTCCAATGCAATGAGTGCTTTACCGTACAAAAGCGAAACATCACCGAATTTGTAAGCAGGATCTGTCTTTAAGATTTTTTCCAGATGGTCTTTCGCATCAGAATACTTTTCCAAGCGGTATTCCATCGATCCGGCCCCCCACAGCGCAGCGAGGGTCTCGTCCCGGTCTAATGCATTCAGATAGGCTTGCAATGCTTCAGAATGCATCCCGACCGCTTTGAGTGCATCACCATATTGCACGTGTTGATGGGCATTGCCGATTTGAATGGCTGCCGTTTCGAGACGGCGGAGCTCTCGACTCTTCGTCCAGCGGTGAGTAAAGGCAGGTAAGCGTATTTCCGCACTGGGTAACCAGCGAGCGATGAAATAGATGAAGGGCCCCAAAGGCCAGAAAATCAAGATAATCCACAGCCAGATTGATCGCTCGGGATCATGCTTCACACAATAAATGACCATCCAGATCAAGAGCAGAACGTAAGCAAGACTCAGCCACCCAGAGACTGCGTACCACAGCGACTCCCAGACGCTGAATTCACCTTCATACCCATATGACTGTTCAAGTGCTTCACTTGTCCCTGCAGGATCGTTGTCAGGTGGAGTCACAGAGTCATGTTGTGATAGTAATAATTGCATCTCACACGGTTGATCAAAAATTGATAGCGGGCAGCGAAGACATTATCTCAAACTTGCCTCAAGATTGCATCTGAGGAGAAACTGAGACAGCCATATCCTTGATGTCCCATACTGTTCTGGTCTGAAAAGGGTGAGTTGACTATCCTTCTCACTTCAGCATTGACTTCAACAATATCAGGGCCAAGCAATTACCAGTTCAGTGGAGCATAGGATGAGTTCATACGAAACTGCGGAACGTTACTTTAATCATGCAGCTGAAGTGATGGGCCTCTCGGACAATATGAGTCGCTTGTTAAAGACACCTCAGCGTGAGGTCAAAGTACAAATCGCTTTTGAACTGGACGATGGTCAGATTGCGACCTTCATCGGCTATCGTATTCAGCATGACAAAGCTCGTGGACCAATGAAGGGAGGCCTCCGTTTCCATCCCGAGGTCGATGCGGATGAAGTGCTGGCGCTTGCCTCTTTGATGACCTGGAAAACTGCAGTCGTCAACATTCCCTATGGGGGTGCCAAAGGAGGAGTTTCAGTTGATCCTTCTCAATTATCGCACCGTGAATTGGAAAGTGTCACTCGT